AATAAATATTGCTATTTGATACTCAAATTACTATCAGAATCCTTTTTTTGGCGATGTCCAATAAAAGTTTCGTTGACCATCACTGCCTTAAAATGCATAATACATATCTAGGCTGAAATTTACAGAACAAGTTTTCGTAGGTATACTGTAGCAGAACTGAGGGAGAGGACGCGTCGTGAGTAAGGCGAAGGCTACGTGATTTTAATTGAACTTATTTGAAATGTAGGATAATATTTACTCTTGTCCGTAGATAATTACTGTGCACGTTTTTGTTGAATTTGTACGCTGTTTGTAAAAAATCATTTTTGGGAAGAAGAGAAATGCACGATCATAACCCACTTCGATATATTCCTTCAACATTCAGAGCTAATCTAGAAATATCTCCACAACAATAATTTCAGAGCAACTTCTTCACTGCATTCTCTCATTTTCCTGAGATCACGTTTATCGTCAAATATGAGTCGACTAACTGTACATTATACGTCCCTCCCAATGTACAGCTAGCGCAGTGGATTCCTCAAGCAGAGTTGATGGGTAGGTTCTTCAGTCTCGAGACTATAGAAAACAAACTGAATGGATCCATTTAGTCCTTTGACTGAAAAAAGAGCAAACTTCGTTTCGTTTCAGGTCATCCTAATTACAAGGCAATTATAACTCATGGCGGGCTGAGTAGTATTTTGGAAACTCTTAGTGTGGGCAAACCTTTGATATTGATGCCCCTATTTGCTGGTTGGTGCCTGAACTAACAAATAGAGTCATTCGTATTTTATCTCTCATCGATTCGCTAAATTTCATCTCATTTTTAGATCACGGGAAGAACTCGAAAGTGATGGAGGCAAAGGGTGCTGCGATTATTCTAGACAAAATGAATTTGAGAGTGCTCGATATTACACGAGCAATTGCAGAAGTGACCGCAAATGCAAGGTTTATCGTTCAATACAATCCCTTCTTCGAGATATAGTAAACTACAATATAAAATATAAAATCAATTACATTGCCTAAAGTTTACCTATTCTGAAGATACCCCTCCATAAGCACACATTTTTCAGATACGGCCAGGTTTGTGCAAAGCTGTCTCGAATGTTAAAAGAGAGCTTACCAGTTGATCACCTTGAATTCATCGATCACTTGGTCCGACGAGCTGCCAAGTCAAGCAGGAAGAAGTTCCCGCTAACACCAAAAGAACCTCAGCAATTTACTTACACTTACCTACAGATTTTCCTTGGAATTTTACTACTGTTTCTGACAATCAACTCTTGAACTTACGATAAGTTTGTGATGTACCCATTTTTGTACCTTATTCGATTACTGCTGAAAACCTACTTTCAGTATCTCTTCGTGCTAAGTGCTCCGATTATACTACGGTTGCGCACTGCACACTAATAAACCCATGCACTTTTTTAAAAATGAAATCAAAGTGACAAACGGGATAACAGATATGGGATAATCATATGAAAACGAAGGGCAACAAAATCTGCATGTTTGTTTTTAGCCTTTCAGCCCAGGATGACGTAGGTGCGAGTGAGTAGCACCGAAAAACAATGTACAACATCCTTTGCG